CCCAAAGCCTCAGAGCTGTTCTTAGTAGCCTTCTTTATAGTAACCCAGATGCCCAGCAGAGTTGGTCTTATCCTCATCACACGTCTACTTGTTAGAATAAAAATGCATCCACTGAAAGAGGTGCTATGGAGATAGGGCTAGGAGAAAACGTTAGGGTTTTATTTGTGTGTGTGTGTGTGTGTGTGTGTGTGTGTGGCCAGCTCAGCCCACCAGGGGGCGGGGCTGGCTGGCATGTGGTGCTGGGGGATTGAACCGTGGTCCCTGTGCTTTTTTGCTAAGCTTGTTCTAAGTAGGTGCTTTAGACCACTGAGCCATCTCACCAGCCCCAACGTTAGGGTTTTTTAAAGCTCAGTCCGATTATAACCATTTGAGGATGACCAAAAAATGTGACCACAAATGCCACTGTGCTAGGGTGTTGGGATTCTGCATGGGATGTGGATAATTTTTCCTGTCGTCTGAATTTCTAGTAATTCTAACATTTTATAATTTTTAATTGAAAAGAGAAAATAAATTTTCATTTGGTCTTCTTGGCAAGTTGTGCCACTGAGTTGCTTAGCCAAAGCTGGGCTACAACCTTGATTTGGAAGCCCCAGCCAGTGAAGTCGCCCTGACTCACGGCAAGAGCTGCCTTCGGAGGGGGGCCACTCCCCAGCACTGGCCCGAGGAACCTGTTCTTTCAGCACAGCCTCTTGCTTCAGCTAAAGTGCATAATGCGGAAGATAAATTACAGCACAAGAGCTCAAACGTCTCCACTTCTGACATTTGTGCTGCTAATTAGTTTTGCTCAGTGTTACATCCCATCTTCTCTGGTTTACTTTGAAAAAAAGACACATAAATGTAAATACATTTTTACATAGCCAGATTTCCACTTCAATATTCAGAAGCAGATGCATAGTTTGTCTTCCCTGGGTGCGTCACCAGTGCTCAGACGCCACTTACACCATTATATTTCATTTCATTCCTACAGCATTATAAAAGCAAGTCTGTTGAGAAAAGACGCAATTAAAAACAAAATCGTCAAAATACAAGCATTTCATCTTCAAATATCAGTTCCATTATGATAGCAAGAGTTACCACCACTCACTGAGTTTGTACCATACACAGGCACATGGATGAGATGTGTGTGTGTGTGTGTGTGTGTGTGTGTGTGTGCGTGCGTGTGCGTGTGCAAGTTTTTGTGCTTGCGTGGGATGACTGGCGGGAACTACGTACAGGCCCTGCCCAAGCCCAGGCAGGCTTTCATCCCAGGTCACCTCCACGCCTATGCTTTTTCCTCAGCTCTGCAGTCTGTTGCCTTAATTTCCAAGTGGAATTCAGTAGTGCAGCAAAGATGATCTGAACTAATTTGATGCACCATATATAACTTCTCAGCTGACACCTTCACAGAGCCAGTGTACTCCCGTGATTTATCCCTTTCCTGTGAAACTGCTGGTGGTCTTTGAATTTCCAGGGGTAACTGCCACATGCTTCCCTTGAATGCCCCAGGACAGATGCCCTGGTAGGCTGCCTGCAGTGCCCAACCCCTCTTTGGCCCCTCCCAGGAAGCCTTGAGCATCACTCTGTGCGGTCAGTGTTCAGATGCCATGGTTTCTTCTTCCCAGACGCTTCTGGCAAAAATTTACCATGTAGCATAAATTGCCCACATTTACTGATAGATTTATTTCCAGCATGAGGTCAATTAACTTGTAACACATAAATATATAGGTTTGGGACTGGATGAAATTACATAATTAACTTGTTACACTTGAATATATATAGGTCTGGGATGGGGTGAAATTATGCAAGTGTGAATTCTGATGATTAGCTGTCACTCATGGTAAAGGCGTCCCAAGTCCTGCCAGTGTTCCTTTGTCTGGTGCTTGAGTCCATCTGTTTTTCAGCATCCGTTGTGTACTTGTCCAGCTCAAAATCTCCAACCTTTCCTGGCTAACTGGCAGCTGGTCTTTCCTTGGGTTTGTGGGACCCAGAAGGAACAGTCTAAAACACAGTTCACCCACTCCATGCCCAATGGTCTGGCAGTAGGTGAACCCAGACGCTCCCAGCCCTCTGTGCCCACCCACACCCCCTGTGCCCACCACAGGGGCCTGTCTGCCAGGCTCTGCAGACCCAGTTTGTTGTGCTTTGTCCTTGCTCTGCTGACCTTCCTCTTTGTACTCCCTACCAGCTAACTCCTTTCCTCTGCAGGATTACTTGGGTTACCCCTTCCCCTCTTGCTCCTTCTCCACTCTCGGGGTTCACACCCCATCCCTTGCACTCACTTGTACTGGCAGAGCCTGAACTAGCAAAACAGCCTGGAATGAAATCTCCAGAAAAATCTCTCTTGGAGCACAGGAACTGGGATTTGATCTCCAGCACCACATGCCACACCAGCCCCACCCCAGGGCATGCTGAGCCAGCCACCAAGACCAAGTATGGTGTTGCACGCCTGTAATCCCAGCCCTGGGGAAACTGAAAACAGGAGGATCAATACGAGTCTGAGCTGTGTAGCGAGACCCTGTACCAAATACATTAAAAAAAAAATGTTGGAGGAAAGGGACAAAACTCTCTCCCTCAGAAATAGATCAACCCTCTGCCCTGTGGCCCAGCATTGCAGGAAATGTAGCTGCTGCCCTGGCCCAAGGAAGACAGCCTTGCCCTGCTCACGGCTGTTGGCTTGGCTGTCACCAGCTGTTACTGTGGCTCTGTGATGGTTACAGAGCGAACATCCCTGCAGGTAGGGTCCTCTCCCGGCCCTCAGTGACCAGTGCTTCCCGCCTGCTTTTCTCCTCTGCTGGGCACAGGAGACAGGCAAGGGACACAGCACCCATAAGCAGCAAAACAGGAGTGGAGCATGGGCCCCCGGCCTTCGATGAGACCTGGAATGGTTCCTTCCTATCACACGGGATGCACAGGCTTCCCTTGGTGAGCTGCAGTTGACAGGGGCGATGGTGCTGCAGCCACACGGGGCCCATGGGCCCTCAGGAGTACCTGTCACGGGCCTAAGCTGCTGGATGTTTTTAATGGTGCCTCAGATTTTCAGGCAAAACCTACTTCCCACATCTTGAGGGTTTGTTTTGTCAGTGACAAGCGGGAGCAGGTGGTGTAGACCGTGCATGAGATCACTTATCAGAGTGGTCAGTGAACCCCGAAGCTCAGGTCTATGAGTCTCCCCAAGACCTTCTGGTTCTTTCTAGCCCCGGGCCCTGGTGTCTGTGCCTGTCAGTGGCCAGGTGTCAGCAGCAAGGCCTCCTGAGGCTGGGGGTGTCTCTGTTTGTCCTTCACAGCCTTGTCCTTCATAGATGGCTCTGCTAGGTCACAGCGTGACCAACAAAGGTATCTGCATTGTTCGCTCACGTAGCTACAGCACCAGCAAGACTGATGTTGGGCTGGGTCCTGTGAAGAGGGCTCACACGCATGCACCCACACAGGCGGTACCTCTGTTCAGGGAAGATCCTGATCAGAAATACGTAGCTCGTGTATTAATAGAGTGATTATTTCCAGCCAAGAATTCTAACATTTTAGGGCCCACAATTTAGAAGCAAGCTAAATTTGTCAAGTGACTAAAAGTGAGGTTTTTCAGAAATTATTAGCTAATTTTTTTCAATATAGGATTTATAGTCACAATTAGTATATTGTAATGATGTTTCCAGGATAAAATAGCAGCAGCTCAACTTTTCTGGTCACAAATGTACAATATATATCAGTTTATTTTTGGAGCTCTGAAAAATTAGTTACTGTAAATAAAGTCCCCAAGAAGATTTCTCCCGGAAAGAGGTGAACTTACAGTAATCTGGGTGATATATTATTAATTAATAACTATGACCAGCTGCTGCTTCAATTAAGAGGCCATCGAATGAATAGGCCTCCTGGATTTCATCCTGCAGGCCCCGGGCTCCATCACAGCGGCTGGGGGCTGTTTCTGCACAAGTGGAGCCCTGTGGTAGAGGCTGGCCCAGGGCCCCACAGTCCAGGCAGCTTGCTGGGCGCTGACCGCGTGTCCCCCTTAGGCAGTGCCAGCAATGGAGACCAGCCTGAGAGTAGCTTGAGAAGAATCTTTGGCTGCTGGGGTCTCCCACTCCACATCTGTTCATGAGTGAGGGAGCTTCACGTTTGGCCAGATCCCCTCATCCAGGCTTCTGTCCTGGTGCAAGCCGGGCGGGCTCATCACTGTCTCGTCTGCGTCACTACTCAGTGTTCCTGCACAGGGAGTGTGGACCTGGCTGTTTGCATGGCAGAGCAAGAAGCAGATGTTGACAGCCCACTCACAGTGTAACAGGGCCACACAGGGTGGGCCCACGGCGCGAAGCTTGAAGACACACCTAGGGTGACACCAGGCAAGCCAGGTCACCAGGAGGGGGCCAGGCTTTTCTGTGCAGGTCAGTGGGAGGGGACATGCCATGTGGGGCCAGTAGCCTGAGGAGGCAACAGGGTAACATGAGATTGGACCAAGAAGCAGTCCAAGAAATGACAGGACGTTCTGAAAGCGTTGGCAGAGAACACGAATAAACTTGGATCTGGGTCAAATTTATATCAGAAGACCAAACCCTTGGGATTCAGTCCATTTCTCTAAGTGTTAGCACCTCCATCCCCATCTTTCCAGTGGAGAAATAACCCAGGCCTGGATCCCAAGAGCGGACTACGCTCCAGGAAGGACTTGGTGCCCCACAAGAGCCAGGCTGTGGGAGAGCCTGCGTGCGCGCTGGGCTGAGGCCCTCCTCTTTCCACAGTCCATGTCTTGGACTTTTAAGTACTATTTTATTTTTAAAGTAATTGTTTAGGGTTAATTGGCCTTCTAACTTAAAAGTCGCTCCTTTTCCATATAGATATTCTTCAGCAGCAGCGCCGTGAAGCCCTCCACCGTGCGGCTCGTGCACACCGCGGTGGAGTGCAGGCCGCTTAGCCGGTCCATCTTCGCCTTTCACTGCCTCTTATGCCCAGCCCTCACCCACGCCCACCCCCATCAGGTGAGTGAAAGCCTTCCCTACAGGGGCTCACCAGCCTGCCTTTCTCTCTCCCTCCAGGTCACGCAATATTTAAACTAACGTATCTAAGCAATCACGACTATAAGCACCTCTACTTTGAATCTGATGCTGCTACCGTCAATGAAATTGTGCTCAAGGTAAGTTGCTTGCCCCAGAGTCATGGTTTGTGAGTCTGGTTGTCTCGGGCTGGCTGTAGCTTTTGTCTCCAGCACCAGATCAGACTGCCACATCCAGGTCTGCAGAGGAGGAGCTGTGCTGCTCCCTGGTAGCCCAGTGGATGAGTACCCTGGCCAGGCGACGCAGTCAGGGTCAGCAGCCCTGCCAAAGCAGGGCCTCCCCACTCCCCATGCCAGTAGTCCCAGCTCTTCTTATTGATTCTTTTCATGCACTGTTCGCTTCCTCCAGCCAGGAGGAGCTCCTTGAGACTCCTGGAGTAGACTTGAGGAAATGGTGGCTTCAGAGACACTTCGGTTGTACTCCAGGTGATCTCAGCCTGTTCAGAATGTACCCAACTTGAGCTTAGCTTACCAAATCTCCATAAGCATCATAGCATCCTCTGTGGGCCAACCTGTTGCTTAGGATACCATGGTGATAGGCTAGTTCCTGTCCCCAGAGAGCTCCACCTCTATCAGGGGAGACAGAGTGAAACCTTTCTCAGGGTATTGATAGCCTCAGAGCTGCTGCACTGGTGTGGAAAAGGTGAGATGATGGGGCGTGGAGTGGGGAAGTGGAATACTGAATGGGAGTGAGAACAGTTTCCTGCCAACCTGTAAATGAGGTGGGGCAGGCTAGGCCACCCCCACCCTGCAGCACAAGGCTGGTGAAAGCAGCATTGACTCAGAAGCCCCACATGACCCAGATGTGCTCTCCCGGGAGCACCAAGGGCCACCAAGGCAGCTGAGCAGCCCGCACTCTCCTGCAGAGACAACTTCCTTAAGCTAACTCTTGGGTAGTTTGATAAGATGGAAAGGCAGAGCTGGCCTGGCTGAGGAGCGGTTAGAACCCAGGAAGGTTCCCTACCCCTAGTTGGATGACCCAAGCTAGTCACATCACCTCAGTCAGGGTGGCTTCACCTTCACTGCCACCAAAATGCTGCTGAGGTGAAATTCGGACAAGTGCCTCCGTAGGGCATTATTCATTCTCTTGAGGGGAGTCACCAAGTGATAATAAAAGCAGTGGAGATGCACAGGACCTGGGTCAGAGGCTTCACCTGTCCTGTTACAGTGGATCTTCACAGCTGTGACACAGGCCTGTGAAACTCCTCATTTCCTAGGTGAAAGTGAGACTCAGAGGAGAAAACAAAACAACTTAGCCAGGATGGTGGTTCTGCTAAGTTAGCACCAGAACTGGACCCTCAGTTTTCAGGTTCCTCATCCCCCAAGTCTGTGCAGCCTGAGGGAACTAAATGGGAGATTTCGGTGCAACTGAAACGCTTTACAGGCACATTTTGAGACAGTGCCCGCAGCTGCAAAAGGCCTTGGAAAGTGCTCAACGGGAATTCAAAGGACAAAGCTGCTGGAGGACGGGTTGGGGCCAAGACAGTCGCATGGCCACTCGACAGAAGGTGGGGGTCTGCAAGCCACCCTGACAGGGCCCCCTTGCGTCACGTGCAAGGATGTGTGCTGACCCTAGTTGGTGGCCACCAGTGAGCTGAGCGTTACCTGCCAGGTCACCGTGAGACAGCCCCAGGAACGTGTGCCAGGTGTTGGGAAGTAGGTAAAGAAATCTTCCTGTACCCGTCAGGGGCTGGACTTAGTTTTATAGCCAGCATTAAAATATTCAAGACTTGAGAAGGATTCTAGTAAAATTATAATCCTGTGTTTGACATCAAAATAATTTTCACAACAGCAGATTGATGACAGAAACACAGGTTTATGACTTCAATATGAGACTCTGGAAGATCAAGTGCAAAGAAATCATTTTACAGGACCAAATGCTCCTTCAGAGCAGATGCTCTCTGCAAAATCCCTGAGGCCTGTCACCTCCCCTGAAATGTCTGTTTTCATATCAAAATGTTTGTAGAAATACTGCATCATGCAAGAGACTCCAGGAGGGGTGCAGCGTGCCTGAGCCTGATTTACTCAGAGCTAATGATCGTGGTCCTGATGCAGATTGAATTTCAGTTCCCTAACTCTGGTTTTTACAGTGATTTAAATACTGAACCTGAACCACCTTACTCCAGGGTCAGGCTGGTGTCCGTGCGTGACGGTACGCCAGCTCCAAGAAGCCGAGGCCAGTCTGCATCCACCAGAGGCCCTGCAGGCTCCGCTGCAGGCTCAGGGAACCACATGCTCTAGGACTCTTGGATCAAAAGTAAACTAAAGTTAAAAGGAAGAAGTCAGAGCCAGAGGCAGTGTCAGAACTGCTGTTAGAGCCAGGCATGGTGGTGCGTGCCTGTGATCCCAATACTCAGGAGGCTGAGGTAGAAAAACTGTTGTGAGTTCAAGGCCAGCCTAAACTGTATAGCGAGACCCTGTCTCAAAAAGACAAAAACCAAAAAACCCAGCTGTTATGAATAAGCAGCCTCCATCAAGTTATTTGCTCTCATCTTTTTCCCCGTATAGAAATACAGACCTCTCCCAATTACCAACTCTGTGCGACATTTTAGGTGCCTGGCCCACTGCCCTACAGGGTAGGCATTATCGTCCCCATCTTATAGATGAGGAGATGAAGGCCCAGGCCACAGAGCTTGAAAAGCAAAGCCTGAGCTTGAAGCAGCCAAAGGTCCCAGGCCTGCTCTCCCACCAGGGCACAGTTGGGCCATGCTATGTGTGGTCCCCAATTCTGCAGGCTGGGAGATGAATCTCCACGGAATCGCTGGGCTCCTCAGACCAGCTTCTGGTGATGGAGTGATGGAAGCTGCAGCTTTATTGACCATGAAAACTCCCTATATTTTTATGCCTTAAGCTGTAAAATGCATTGAAAGTGAAACACTCTATAGTGCATAAAATTGTGCAAGTTTTAAGCCACAGCATATTAACCAGCTAATGGCAGACCAAAGGGCGTTTTTATCTTTTGATTATTACATTAATCTTCCATTAAAATTATCTATGTGATTATCACAAAGCCCTGAAGATAATAAATTTAGGAAATAGTTGGCTTGTTAAGGATCATTTTAAAATGCTTTTGTCAAATTATATGTGCCAAAAATACACAAAAAACACTAGGTTGGCTGAGAGTGCAAACACTCTGATCCAAAGCTTGCTTTTATTAAGAAAGATAAAACTCCCAATTTCCACACATTGTCTACATTGTCCCAGGCTGTCCCCCGGCCCGTGGTCCTCATGATTTATTGCTCTCAGCTGGTAGCTTGGCGAGGCGGTGGCCGAGCGTGTGAGGCCTTCTGTGCCCCAGCAGCCACTGTCACTACCTGCTGCTGGCAACGAACAGAGCAGAAAGTTTGAGGACAGTGTCATGCTCGACCTCTGTGTGGCTGCCGTCTTGTGCTGTCCCCTTAGAGTTTTGTCCTTGTGCAGTCATAGAGCCAGCCGCCCCAGCCCCACCATGTAGCCCTCAGATTGAAACCAGCACGGAGCTGACTCCTCGAAGAGTCTGCTGTCCATCTGAGGAGTCAGGAAACAGTGTTGCTCCCAGCCCCAGGCGAAGGGCATCAGTGGAGCGAGCCCTGGCTCAGGGTGCTGCACAGGGCCGAGTGGCGTATGTGGCCCTGTGACCTCCGGGGTGTGTGGAGGCAGCAGCACAGCCATGCTCTTTCAGACTTCCAGGGACCTCAGTCTCCGGGGCCCGCCTCCCTTGTGCATCTCACCTCCCTGCCTGGCTGGCCACTGGCTTTTTTTGTGAGCACTAAAAAACATGCAGAGAAGGCCCTGTTGGGGCTGGTAGGCTTGGGATTTCCTCTCTGCGGTGTTTCCCTTCTTCCTATTCAGAGGGTGATGTTCGGGAAGGTCACTTGCTTGGTCCGAGGCAGGCAGGGAGCAGAGCCAGGAGGTCCAGCCGCTTCCTGCGAGGCATCACACACCAGGGAGGCGCACGGGCTCACCAGCTTCTTGGCATCCGAGACAAAGGGAGGCTTGGTCCCACCCTGTCAGGTGACCCTAGTGCCTGGAGCTCTAGCTGCAACAGAGCGTCTGGTCCTGGGTGGGCGGCAAGCCCTGGTGAGTGACAGGTGTGTCCTCTTGCTTTCTAGGTTAACTACATCCTGGAATCACGAGCAAGCACTGCCCGGGCTGACTATTTTGCTCAGAAACAAAGAAAACTGAACAGACGTACGAGCTTCAGCTTCCAGAAGGACAAGAAATCAGGGCAGCAGTGACACTGGCCTCCGCCCCCAACCTGTCATTGCAGCTCAGAGCCCACCTGCCAGGGCCAGGTGGCCTTAGAGCCCACTCCAAGCCCTGCAGTGCCCTGGGAGGCTAGCCTTGGGCTCAGAGCACAGTCCTAGGGCACCATGGGGAAGGTGTGCAAGGGCACGTAGGCTGCTGTGCAGGGGACCTGATGTGGGACCGCAGTGGCTTTGAGCAGCGACACGCAGGGGCCAGGCCACCCCCAGGAGCCACAGGCCACTCGACCATCTCCACTGCGTGATGACCCTGCCCAAGGCTGCCCATAGCCACCTGGACATTTCCTTGCAACTTGATCAAATTTCTTAAATGAAGAACAAAAGTGTACATTTCTTTTTTTTCTTTCTTTCTTTCTTTTTTTTTTTGCTTTTTAATAAACAGGTATACTCTACCATGGTTGGTATGGTGGACCATTCTTTGGGGTGGAGGATTGATTATGTTATTCCCTTTAAAATCTGTTCCCATATTGAACAGGCAGATTGGAAAGGCTATGGTTCGATTTCACAGAAGAAATGTTTAGGGTTTAGTCAGTAGTTTTAACTATGCCATTTGTTTAAATGAGTGCATTTGCTTCGAGGATAGTGCCATACTGAAAGGAACCAGGACCTGGCGCTGTGTCCAGGGCTGCGTCGTCTTCCCCTAGATGCCCTCGCCCCTTGATGGCCCAGCACCTCCAGCTTCACAGATGGGAGGACAGGGGTGACAGCTGCTCTTCAGGTCATGCCAAGCCAGCCACTGTGGTCTTTCTGTCTCTTCACAGCAAGTGTAAGTTTCAGCCAACAGGCCTGCACTTGGCTTCTCTGGCCTGGGGTCCCAGCTCTGCTGCCCCTGCAGGACCTGGCTCCTGCAGCCTTCCTCACCACACATGCCCCATGGGAGCCAGCGGGCGGCTGCTGTCCACTGTCGCAGAGAAAAGAAGCAGAAGGAACCGTGTCCCCAGCAACCTGTTCCACGGTGGGAAAAGACGGGCTGGGGCCCCTGATACCACACCTCTGGCCACACCAGATGCCTCTACGGGCCTCACCAAGGTCCCTCCCATGGTGATGTCCGTAAGTACTGTCCCTGGCCGGGGCCAAAGGCCAGGTGTCTCACCAAGGACATGCATTTAAAACATTTTTTAAATCATTGTACAAGAAGAGATGTGTCTGAACGGCATCTCAAAGTAAGTGTATTTCTTTGCACAGGGAACCTTTTAATGACTTCCTCTCTCATTCTGCCCTTGTCAGCCAGCAGGAGCACCCTTTTCTAATGTCTTCCACCCCTACCCTCCAGAAACAAAAGAAATATTATTTGTAGCTTGCTATCTGTATTTGAATTTTTAGCAATTTTATATTTAGATACCTTTGAAAAATGTAAGTGACTAATTTGGTCATTAAATCTTGTGACATATTCAATATTAAAATGCTATTAAAATAAATGTCATATAAGCACTTTTCTTTGGCACATTGCTTGGCGTTCCCGAAGTCTTGAGTACCTGCTGCTGAAGCCCGACTCCACCATGCGTCTCCCAGGCTGGCTCGAGCTGGCAGTCGGTGCCCAGGGTCTCTCAGCTCCACCAGAGGCCCAGAGGTGACCCTGAAATTACACCTCCTCCCCCTGTATCCGTCATGGCTCACTGTGAAATTCAACTCAGTTATCAGACGTGGCCAGTTTAAGGAGTAACTTTCCCTCTATGACCACTGTTGGGCCAGACACCAGAACTTTATATTCACTTTTCCTCAACCCCTCTTCCTATCCACACACACGTTTTTAAAGCAAGGCCCTGAGCAGACGACCAAGTGTCTCATGCCACTCCCAGCACCAGGCTTGCAGGGCTGCTCAGCATGTTGTGGTGAAACCAAGGCACCCTGCCAGCTTCGGGTGGGTCTCCTAGCCTGGCACCAGGGTGGATGCTGCCCGAGGTGCTGCCGGAGGCCAGTGTCATGCTTCTTTGCAAGCCTGCTGTGCCAGGCAGTGGTCCTGTCGCTCCCATGTGCAGCCTGGACAGCCAGGTCACCACCCTTATCTTGGAGGTGAAGTCTTGAGGTAGGCTGCCCTGCTGGCCAGGACACCATGAGTGACCGGTCCCACACCCCTCAGTGGCTTTCTAGCCGGGCAGCAAAGGCACTGGATTAGCTGAGTCCTGCCAGGCCTGCTGGGGTTGCAGCACCCCAGGATCTGTGTGAGCTGCCTTCCCCTGTCCTTGCTCCTCCTGCGGAGTTGACACCCGTGCTCTGTGCAGCCACAGTTTCTTGGCCACCGCCATCGTCCCTCAGTGACCAGCCCTGGCTGCACCACGCCAGCATCCCCTCTGCAGCCCTCGCCTCCAAGCGCCTCCAGACCTGGGCTCCATCTTACAGCGTCAGAGCCACCTTGGCCCTGCAGCCTGTGCCCCATCTCAGCGCAGTGGTCTGGTCGGGGAGAGTCCACAGGGTGGGCGAGCGGCCCGCGGCCTCCCTACCATGTGCTGCAGCGGGCTCTACGAGGCCCAGCTTGCTGGGAGGGTGCAGAGCAAACAGCGGAGACGGAGGCAGAGGCAGAGGCAGGAGAGGAAGGCTGGAGCAGGGCCTCGTGTCACCCCGCCTGATGGAGTGGACACGCTGCCCTGCGGTGCAGCCTGTGGTCCAGGACACCCACCACAGGTAGGCCATTCAGCTTTTGCTCTTGTCCTCATTACCCAAGGAAGCGTCGGCCCCACCCGACCCTGAGAGAGGGGTGGGGCCCTAGGCGCGGTTTAGTTGCTCATTTTTGTGTGTCATACCATAAAAAGCAAAAGCACCTGGCAGCGCTGGCTACCCTGTCCCTCCTGCCCCTCAGTCCCCTGTCTCTGTCACACAGTGCCCAGTGGCATCTGTGCCAGCGGCCAATGCATGCACACCTCCATCTGCTGACCCTGCACCACACGCCAGTTTTGGAAAACAAAATGGAGCAGAAGCCAGAATCAGGCCGAACGCACTCCAGCTCTGCCGCTGTCTCCCAGAGCGGCGTGAATTACCGTCCTGCATGAGCCTCCGCTTTCCCTTCTGCGAAACGGGCACAATCCAAGTCCTTCCAAGGGGCAGTGAGGCCTAATCGGCACCAACAAGCAGTCTCCAGGCCTCACTGGCTTGAGAGTCAGGTGTGGGCCCCACATTGACCTCCACAAAGGCTGACAAGGGACAGGCGAGCTGACAGCACTATGGGAAGAGACATGGGCCCCTGCTGCCACTGCCACTCAAATGCTATTGCCCAGAATCACACAGCAACACCTGCTCCAGGGTGGACCAGGGAGTTTAACCATCAAAGACTGAAAGTCACACAAGCCGGGCAAGGTGGCACTCGCCTTGATCCCAGCACTCAGGAGGCTGAAGCAGGAGGATCGCTGTGAGTTTGAGGCCAGCCTGGACTACACAGTGAGTTCAAGGTCAACCTGAACTACACAGCAAGACTCTGTCTCAAAAAACAAAGAGAAAGAAAGAAAAGAGGAAGGAAGGAAGGAAGGAAGGAAGGAAGGAAGGAAGGAAGGAAGGAAGGAAGAAGGAGGGAGGAAGGAAGGAAGGAAGGAAGGAAG